GATGTTGTTCTGTCCCAAACCTCTGGGCCCTGAGCAAACGGTCCTGAGGATGGAGGCTCGGGTGGAGTCAGGGTTTGTCAGAGGAGAGCTCATGGTTATCTGTTGGGTGAGAGGCTGTAACTGTGTGACTGTGACTCATGACTTTAACTGATCCATCACACTAACGAGCCCCTCTGTGAATCGCTACCTTATCGTGGTGGAGGTGTTTGTGAGGGATCCCAGGGGCTATGCTGTCGGGGCTTTTTGTCCCCTGGTAGTGTCTCCCGTGGCAGATTTTGTCCTGGGTGAGGGTCAGACAAAGAGTGATTGAAAAACCCCTATGAGTGTAAGAACTAGGGAACAGGACAGGGTTACTGGGGACCCATCCTGGAGCCCGGCCCAGGGAGGGTGCCCTTTTACGGGCTGTGCAGCAGCCAAGGGCGGAGACCCTGGCAGACCGATCCCCAGTTACCAAAACCAGCATTAGGACATGGTCACCTGTCTGGTGGGGAAGGACCTTAATTAGTGCGTTAAGTTCAGAGGTAGCAGATATATATAGTCACGCTCGCCTCAACGTACGTTCTCAGCAACCCATGGTGGGGTGCTTGAGGGCTCCACCTGGGGACTCTTGGTGTTCCCCCGGACAAGATGGAGGGGGTGGCTGGGGAGAGGGAGGTCTGGGCGACCCGGCCCCGGATAAGTGTGGATGGACACTAACAGGCTGTGTTTTCAGACGCTTTGCTTCATTGGTCACAGAGAGATGTGGCTCTGTGTCACTGCTGAGAACTCCTTTCCATCATCACAGAGGAGCAATAAGTGACTCGGTGTGAGGACAGAGCTTTAACCCTGACACACCTGTTGTCCCAGCAGCAGCAGCACAGCCACAGCACACTGCAGTATTTCACTGCTGGGGTTTGTGCAGTAAACTGTGCACCAGACGATTTAATCACACGTGGAAATCTTCTCCTCCTGAAAGTGACGCTCTCTCAAACTGACTCTGAGCCTCTGCTGTAAATCCACCAGCTTGTTAACATGGAAACAAGCTGCAAGCGTCAGTGGATTTGACTCCAAGTCTTCCTCTTTAACATTAAAACCTTAGACTTCACAGGCTGCATAAAACAACAGATTAGGACACACTGAGGAAAGTCTAATGTTGATATCTTTGGCTCCATCATGAAACACGATGTAAATATCACGATATGTCCTGATGGGACGAGCTGCAGTTTAAGACTCCTTGAATTCAAGTTCATGTAAATATCGGCACATGTGGCATCCACAGCAGCTAAAGCTCATAGCAACCAGCAAAAACAACACACAGCTAAAGGAGCAGTTACGTTGTTTAAAACAGAGGATGACTTCCAGCTGGTGGAATAAATCTGTGGTCATGTTACCTGTTGTAGTTTTGCAGGTTACTGCATTTTCTTGGACGTCCTCTTTGTGAAACCAGCAGTGAGTCTGAATCTGCCGCTGTCGCCTTTCCCTGTCTGGTAGTGTAAACACGCACGCTCAGCGCGGTTTTCCATGTGGGAGGGGGGATTAATGATGCATTCAAAGGGTGTGGGAGAAAAAACACTCACAGTGAATTACATTCATACAGCTTAATATGGCCACGACAACCCGTACTCGATGGTTACGACAAAACCATTTTAACGATGGTTAAAATGGTTTTGTCGTAACCCGCCCTGGGTAGGACCAGCATTTTGTAGTCCATCCTCTGACGTCACGTTCAGGGGAGGCGACCATAACTCTGCCCTCTGCCCTCTCCTAACTCCAAATCCACTTGTGACCTCGATGAGGAAAAGCAGACAGGATGGAGTTTTGGAACACAGCCCTGCTCTCAGACATCAACATGTTCTTCTACGTGCTCCTCAAACAGCTGCTGTGTGCACTGCTGCCACCTCCTGGTAGTAGCAGCAC